GTCAAGGGATTTGGCAAGGGATTTCGACAGGCAGACTGTACAGCATTCGCGCCACTGAATTCTATTCTGAGCCATATCTCTCAGCGTCTTTAACCAACGACAATCTTCATTCCTTGGGTGCCAACCTGGAAGGAGGGCTGCACCAACCAAAGCCAGCTTCTTCATACCTCTACGCCATATCATGGTCTGACCGCCGCAGTGCTTCTTCCAGGCTTGTCCGGCATGTGCAGAGAGCACTAAGGTAGCCGATGGGCAGGCTTACGCGATACGTGACGAAGCCATTGGAGGCGGTGAACAGTAATTTTAAGCGATTAAGGTGCACAACCGCACTACTTAATTTTAGAAAGGGGTTCCTCAACGGTAGTTTTGGTAGCCTTCATTTGGGGTTCTATTTGTAATCCACACACGATTACAGGAGGTCATCTCTCTGTTTACTTTAGATTTCAGCGCGAATGTTTTATCGACAAAAGCAATTAGAGGTCAGATAAAAAAGAACTGATAGTCTTTTGGAATATGCGATTGCAGTGATATGACAATGTCGTCTACTCCACAAATCAACCGACAAAACTAGTCTTGATTGGGATACAAAGCGTTGAATAATACATATAATTGCTCCTGCCATGTCAGACGAAATAGTCCATTTCAGTATGTTGTATTGATTTTTCTACATATACACGAGAATTGGAACTATCCGTTCCATGAGAAACATCTTCGGATCCAACTGGAAGACACGAAGGAAACGGGTAACATTTTTACAATCAAAAGGATCGAGGCGGATGCATGTACTATCTAGCAAGTCTGCAAGATGCGCTTCTATCCAGATTGAAATGATAAATAGATGATGTCGTTATCATGCATAGCGCTTTGCGGTGGTCTATTTCTGAAAAATGTTAATATATATGTGGGATTTGCCTATGATCTTCCAAGTCATGATTTGCTTAGATGGCGCAGGAAATTCTTATGTGCAACGTAACTGATTGGCATAGAATAACGGAATTTCCTTTTGTGTGCCTTATAAGTCTGATCCTTAGAAACAGTTTGTATGTCATCAAACACTGTATAGTTCTATGATTGTTTATTCACCGAGCTTGCCCATGACAGTACAAACTTTCCGTCACAATTTTCAAATCAACAAATCAATGCAGTAAATATTCTATTCATCTCATAGCGTTCACTTTCTAATCCCTGCTACCAGTCCTTTTGATGTCAAATTTACACACAACTTATGTGTCGGTCTTGTTTCGGTGCACAGTTTTGAATTCGGGTTCCTGGATCGAGTTTTAGTGCAACAAATGTAACCCATTTTCTCCAGTCATGTTTTGTTCATGCCTATCCCGCATCGCGAGCAGTCAGTGCCCTCCTAGTCATCAGCTGCTACTCACTGTCTGCGCAAACCCGGTTTCTTTGCTTTCTGTAGCTTTGTGTTCCTAGTACTCTTTAAACTCTCCCATTCAACTATTCAATCAAATGGGCTGCCCTAGACAGCAACCGAACCGATCCCACGACAGTGCAGGGTTGATAGTTGTTAAAACTGAAATTGTCATTGTAGTTATTNATTGTACACCAAAATACAGGGTTCCGAACTTCACTGGACATCCAACCGGACAATCCCTTTAAAATTGGGAACTATTTCCTTGAAATTGACCACCGTTCAAAGTCGAACGTGATACTATACCATACTTACATCGGTTTTTTCTACCACATAACAAACTGTGTCGCTTATCTTTTCAAATACGCAAGCTACGACAATTTCGCGTCAGACATGAAACTGTATGTTTCTTTGTTTATCAGTGCATTTTTCCTGTCATACTTTATTGTCCTCTCGTTATTTTTCCTGGACTACTTAGAAAGGATTTCATTACTCTACGTCGCAGTTTGGTAATTATCAGCCGTGCTCCTCTTATTCCTTTAAACACTCTGATAAAAAAATTGTGTAATTTTCATGTCTCCTAATAATGTGAGAATTTCGCTAATAAGGCACTCCAGGACCCAAGTCATTCGCTCAACCCCGATTTATCTGCTGGCCGTTGTCACGCTGCAACCCGATCCAATTTTCGCTGCTTGCCCTCCCGCATAAACATTTATCGCAACTCAAC